AAACTAATGAGCGCAAAAACGGTACTGAATATTATTAAATAAAGATTACAATTTCGATTAAAATTAGGTTGAAATGTTTTCCAATATTGAACATATTCATTATTATTGTTACATAAAAAGAAATTTCGAAAAGATTCAATAAGGCATAGAATTATTGCTAGTTTCCAACAATGTTTTATTTCGCAATTATAAAGCAAATGTCTGTATGCTTGTCTTTTAAGTAATATTAAATCAACTAAAATTATCACTGAATCGTATTCAATATATTTATCAGCCAAGAAGCCACATGTTTCCTAAAATAAATAAAAATCAATTACTAATTAAAAGAAGAAAATATTTTTCTATGTAAAAATTATTTTATAATATAGAATTTATAAAATTTCGGGAATATAGATAAAGTAAAATACAATGATCATAAATTTTACTAATAAAATATTTGTTATTAATATATAAAAAAATAATTTATAATACAGGAAAATTTATGATACAAGAAAATTTCTGCAAATTATTGATAAATCATAAAACATGATATTATTTAAGCAATAAATAAAATAATTATGAGAAATTAGTAATCAAGATAAGTATAATATTTTTATTGATACAAAATAATCAAAGGATAAGACAGCAATAAAAACTGTCATACAGTTAATAATTTAAACATTAGTATAATAGTAATTATTATTAATATTATTATATTATTATATTAATAATTATTAATTAAATTATTAATTAAATATTAATGTATTTATCAACACTGCACATTATCAAGGATATATTATTTATATATAGAAGTTGAAAAAAACATTAAATGAAATGATAAAAAAAGAGATTGGAACTTATAAAAAATTATAAATATATATCAATGAAACCTTGAAACATAGTAATTTTTACAGATAAGAATAAAGCATTCTATTCATTTTGATATATATTCGAATTTTATAAATAATTAAAAACAATACTTCATTGATTTATAACATTTTTTTCTTCGAATGAAAAAGGTTAAAATATAATTAAAAAATAAAATATAATTTAAAATTGTAAAAAAGAAATAAATTTGTATAACATACAGTTAATAATTTAAACATTAATTTAAACATACACATTTTAAAAGTTTTAAAACATTTGGAGAGTATTTTCTGTAAAGTTCTTCTATTTCAGTACCACAATTTACACATCGATACATTATTAAATCAATTATCTTTCTTTCATATTTTGTTTTTTCTTCAATAAAATTATCTGCAATTAAATACATATAACCTAAAAAATAATATAATTTTCTATACCAAACCTAATAAATATATATATAAATGCTTATTTTTATTTTGTTTACAAATTTTTGAAAATTTCATGAATATTCGAATAATTATATGAAGAAATGAAAATTATATTATTATATTAAATATTATTTTGTCAATAAATTAGATAGATCGTTTCATTTTTGTTTTTATAAAGAAATATGATATAAAAGAATATGTTAATATATAATTTAGTACGATAGATTGCATATTAATATTCTGAATATTGTTTGTGAATAGTAATATTCATATATATATATATATATATAATATAAATATAAATATATAAATATATAAATTATATATAATGTAAAAATGCATTTATTTGTTTTATCTTAATTATAACACTTATTAAGATAAAATATTTAAAGTGAACATAAAATACACATTTATTTCAAGGATTACATAATTGAAGTGAAAGTGAAATACATTTTTATAAAGTAGGAAATGGATACAATCATTCAGTTGTCTGGCGAAGTTTATATCGTATAAACGTTATGGAGAAAAATACTATTTTGCTTCCAAATGGAGAGTTAATGCCAATAATTGGTTTTGGCACTTGGCAGGTAAAATTCTTCTATTTTATATCAATTTTTTATATTTATATTTTTAATAATTTTTTAATAATTTTTTTTTCATTTAATGGAATGTCATATTTTTTATAATAAATATATTTTAATGAATATTAAAATTAATTATTTTATTCTAACAATAAAATAAAATTTGTTCGAAGTAAATTCAAATTCGTTCAAAATAAAAAATGAAAAGAATAATATTGAATATAAAAACTATTCTATAATATTCTATAATTGTATTTATTATATTAATTCTAATATACACGTATATTTAAAGAAATTTTGTGTTCCGAAACTTATGTTTTATTATTTTAATGAAATAATGTATCAATTAATATTAAATGTTAACATGCATGATAATTTTGATATAAAATTATTAAAAAATAATAAATGATCGTTATTTATATATAATTATATATATATTAAATTGAAAATAATAGATAATAAAAAATTATAAAATTAAATTTCTTAGCAGGACTTTAACTTCTTGAAATTATAAGTTTTTTTGAATTTTTTAAAAAATTAATTGTTTCAAAAAAAATAAAAAATATATTATATTTAAGGCACAAGAAAAGGAATTGGAAGATGCATTGAACATTGCTTTAGAAGCAGGATATAGACATATTGATACAGCAACGTCGTATGAAAATGAAAAAGTAATTGGTGACGTTCTTAAAAACTGGTTTGATTCTAAAAAACTTAAACGATCTGATATATTTATTGTTACGAAGGTAATATTAACGATAATTCATTATATCATATTTATAATTTTGTAAATGTCTTAAAATATTTTTATATATGTATAATAATCATAAGATGGATGTGATTTTAATAAATAAATGTTTTATAAAATTGATAAGATTAATTGTCAAAAAATTATTTATTATTAAAATATAAAAGATTATTAAAAATACATATTTTTTGCACTTATAGCTTCCTGCTGTAGGAAATAGAGCAGAAGATGTGGAAAAATGGATTAAAACATCATTACAAAATTTACAATTAGAATATTTAGATCTTTATTTGATTCACGTTCCGATTGGTTTTGAAAAAGTTGGGGATATTTTACATCCTTTTGACGAAAATGGTCAAATTAGACTTGATAATAGTACAAATCACGTAGAAATTTGGACCGAAATGGAGAAACAAGTGAAATGTGGCCGAACTAAAGCAATTGGATTATCAAATTTTAATATTTCTCAAATCAAGCGAATTTTAAAAAACACGAAAATGAAAATATCAATGCTGCAGATTGAATTGCATGTTTATTTTCAACAAAAGGAACTGGTAAAATCTTTTTTTAAATCTTTATTATAGAATTATCAACAATTTTATTTTATAAAAAAAATAATATTTTTTTAGGTAAAATTTTGCAAGCAGGAAAATATTCCTATAACGGCTTACTCGCCACTTGGCTCACGTAATCTTGTTAAATTATTGAATAAAACAGAAGAAATTTCAGATATGTTACAAAACGATGTAGTAATGGAAATAGCAAAAAACTATAAGAAATCGTCTGCACAAATTTTATTAAAATATATTGTACAAAATGGAATCGTAGTTATCCCTAAAAGTACAAATCCTCAAAGAATTAAGGAAAACATACAACTTTTTGATTGGGAACTTAATCCGGAAGATATGAAAAAATTATATAATCTCGATCGTGGTGAATCTAGTAGGATTTGTGATTTAAAATTTTTTAAGGGAATTGAAATTCATCCCGAATATCCTTTCTAAATTTATATTATATTATATTATAATATTATAGATAGTATGATATATATTTAATTATTATTAAATATATATATTTAATTTTTATATGCAATTATGAAATATAAATAACAATAATGATTTATTTTACTCGGAAGATGTATTTTTATAATATTATGTAGAAAAAAGAATAATTTTATATAAATAAATAAATATCTATTAATTTTGTGTGTGCTTTAAATTATTTAAAAAATTATAATTTTAGAAATATATCAAAATAATATTACAAATAGCAATGATTAATTTTCATCGCGGAAAGGTTAAAATCGTGGATGTATGAATTTGGATACATGGCGACATATTTGTATTAATATTTAATAGGTGGCACATAACTTATAAACATATATGGACTGAAGATATTAAAATCTAGTTAGAAATCTCGTGTTCGATAATAGCACTATATGATATTATTTTATCTCTATCTTAACTCATACATATTTATAGACACAATTTCAGATACTTTGAAGTAAAGATAAAATCATTTATGTGATATTGCATATGATCAAAGTAATGACAGAAATTTTCAAAACAATAAATATTTATGTTTAATCAATATTAAATCTGAAATTTATATTTTATCTTATTTTATGTTAATTTAATTTTTTCTCTATTAATTTGTATTTTATTTTTATAGTTTTAAATAGTACTCATTATGATATATATTTTGAAAATTATAATTTTTATTTTTTTAAAAAAATAATAACAACAATACATAAATATTTAGACAAAAATTATTTATAATTATATTGTATAGATTTTAAAATAATATAGTTTTTTAAAATTTATTTCTTATTCTATTATAATTTATTAATAAATTATTTTCTTTATAATACAATCGCTATAATACAAAATAATATATCGCAATAATACAAAATATTAAATATATTAAATTAATACATATTTATTAGAAATTTAAAAAATATTAGTAATTAATAATTCACAAATGATATATTTTCCGTTATTTTATTCTTACTTTAGTTTGACTCATAATTCTTTATATATGAGTGCTATCTATAAGTATATAGTTTAAGCCTATAATAATAAAAGATATATATACACATAAGTATTAAAGTTGTATTCTCAATAAAGTGGAATATATGTAATATTAATATCATGTAAACTTTTATATAATAATATATTAATTATATTCAAGTTCATAAAAAAATTAATTTCGTTTTTTTATAATTTTTATTTTTAATTTTAAATTATGATTTGTGATAATCGAAAATATATCTTTTTCTGAAATGTAACTTTTACATCATATATATATTAGGTTCAAGCTCATGTTTAATAATGTGTTGTGTCAACAATAAGAACGCTTTTATAATTATTAAATAACAATTTATAATGTTTCACACATAAAAGGAAATTAATTAAAGGTAAAAAATTGTTATTAACAATATAATTTTAAATAATTTTTATCTAAATTATATTAAATATTATATTAAATTATTTTAAGATTATATTGCCACTCCCTGACACCTCATTTATGTAGTTATTTGAAATATTTTTTTTATGTATAAGTATATTTTAAATTTATTTTATAAGAAGGAAATTTTTTTGGCAAATATTTTTTTAATTTTATGTTTTATTGATGAATTTTTATTTTCTTAAATATTTTGTTTTATTTATATATAATTAATAAAAAAAAATTTATAATAAAAAATTCAAATAAATTCAATAAAATTCGATTTTAAAAAAAGAATTGAAATTAATTAAAAATATTTGTATTTTTTATTAATGTAATATTGGAAAGTTAAAAATATAAATTTGGATAACAAATTAAATTTTTTTAATTTAAGATACATATACGAAGTATGCCATTCATTCGTTATTTGACATTTATCACGTTAATTTTTATGAATCCAAATAATATTTTATATTAAGTTATATATATTTTAAAAATTATATTTTAAAAATTTTATTATAAAAAAATTTATTTATTTTTATTAATCCATTAATCAAAAAGTTGTATATTATATTATATTATTATATAAGTTGTAATTATATTAAAAAATAAAAAAAGTAGTTTTCAAAATTTTTATAAATGCATCATAATTTATTTTTATTTTATTTGAATTTATTAATTACAATTTAAATTGTAATTATATAGAAAATTAATAGTGTTTTAATTTTATAATAAAAGATTGATTTATTTCTAGGAAATTTTTATAACAATTATTTGTACATTATTATATACATATATTAAATACATATAAGACACAATTGTTTATTTAAATTTTAAGAAAGTTGATAATAAATTAATCAAAATTTTATATTATATTATATTAAATATTAAATATATTAAATATTAAAAAAATTTATTCAAGAAATCAAAATAATATATTAATGATAAATATAAAAAAAATTTTAATATCTAAAAAAAGATAAAAATTATAATTAATACATAAATTATTTGATAAAAATAATTAACTTAATAATATTTTATTTCAGATTATAACTAATTTGAGTAAACTTAATAATTTATTACTTATATTAAAATAATAATAAGTAATAATGCATTGTGTACCAAAGATTTTAATATATATTTATATTTTATCATATAACACATTTGCACAAAATATCTTGTATGAAGAACTATATCAACATTGTCCACAACATTGGATAAAATTTCAAGAATCATGTTATCGTTTTATAAAAAGTCCTATTAAGGAAAGACAAGATGCTAAAAGAAATTGTGAAGCCTATCAAAGTGATCTTATTACAATTAATTCTTTAGAAGAACATGGATTCATATTATATCAATTATTATGGCAAGATCCACAACATCGTAAATGGTATACTGGTATAAAAAATCAAAATGGAAATTGGATAAATGAAGGTGATAATACTCAATTAGTAAATATGGATAATGCATTTTTACCTGAACCATTTGATTCATTTGATAAAGATTATTTAATATATTCTTATAATAATAATTTACAACGTTGGGGATTAGAAAAAGTAACTGGTAAAGAAAAACTATTATATATTTGTGAAGCACCAATTTCTAATTTATATAACTTAATAGATGATGATCGTACTTATCAATATGGTATTGAAATTGATAATCCTAATGAAATACCCAGAGGACCATATTTTATTAAGCAACCTACAGATAAAGTATTTGATATGTCAACAAGAAAAATAAGTAATGATGTTTCATTGAGCTGTTTAGTAGGTGGTTATCCTACACCAACATATGAATGGTTTAAAGAAGATTATGAAAATGATAAATTGATTGCAACAAAAATAGATCCATTAAATAATGTTAGATATACAGTTAGTGGTGGTACTTTAATTATTTATGAACCTGATCAAGTAAGTATTTTAAATTTTAATAATTTAAATTTTATTAAAACTTATGCGAAATAAAAGAAAATTTTATTTAATTATAATATAAATTAATTATTTTTAGACAGAAGATAGAGGTTCATATCATTGTAAAGCAACAAATAAATTTGGTACAATCATATCTGAAAGTGTAGAATTGTCTTTTGGATATATTTTAGAATTTAATTTAAAGCGTTCAGAAGAACGCGGAGATCAAAATTGGGGTAAAGCTGTATATTGTGATCCACCACAACATTATCCTGGAGTAAAATATTACTGGGCACGTGATTATTTTCCTAATTTTGTGGAAGAAGATAAACGTGTTTTTGTTTCCAATGATGGTGCACTTTATTTTTCTGCATTAGAAATGATTGATCGTGGCAATTATTCTTGTAATGTTCAAAGTGTTGCTTCTGATACTGGTCGTAATGGACCATTTTTTCCTTTAAGAGTTGATCCACATTGTAATTATCTTTTTCTTCTGTGTATAAGTTATTCTTCAATCTTTGCATCAATTATATTTAATATTTTTTTTATGTTTCAGCTTCTTTTCAGCAATTAAAATTCCCTAATAATTTTCCAAAAGCATTTCCAGAAGCTCCAATTGCAGAAGAGGAAGTTAGACTTGAATGCATTGCATTTGGATAGTAAGTTCAATTTTTTTTTTAAACTTGATTTATGATTAATAATTTTATAGATATATGTATAAAAATTTATATCAAAATTAATTCTAAAATAATATATGATTTTATTATATAATATATTTTTTAATTTAACATAGTCCTGTTCCATCATACAATTGGACAAGAAGAGGTGCACCACTACCACGTGGAGCTTACACAACTAGTTATAATCGAGTATTAATAATTCCTAAAATACATGTTGATGATCAAGGAGAATATATTTGTAGAGTTTATAATGACAGATTATCAATTGAAAATTCTGTAACGCTAACTATACAGGCAGCTCCGAATTTTACAATTCCATTAGTAGATAAACATATGGATAATAGAGGAGAGTTAACTTGGACTTGTGAAGCATTTGGAATACCAGATGTAACTTATAGTTGGTTTAGAAATGGTGAAATATTAAACATGGAAACGCTTTCTTCTGAAGATAAAGATCGATATTCCATACAAGACAATGTTTTAAGTATAAAAAATTTGGATCCAGAACGAGATCAAGCAATGTATCAATGTCGTGCAAAAAATCAATTAAAAACAAGATATTCATCTGCACAACTTCGAATTTTATGTAATTATTATATTATAATATTAAATATTTAATAAAATTAGTTTAATATAAGTATAGTGTTAAGTTAGAATTTCGAAAAATATTAAAAAATAAATATACTACAAAATTTATCAATACATATACACACACACACATATATATATATATATATTTTTATAAATGATTTTGATTGTTTTTTAAATAACAGCATTAAAACCATCATTTAAAAAAAGACCTATGGAACCTGAAACTTATGCAGCAGAAAAAGGTAATATTACAATTATTTGCAATCCTGAAGCTGCACCTAGACCGAAATTTGTTTGGAAAAAAGATGGAAATGTGATTGGTTCTGGCGGTAGACGAAGAATTTTAGAAACTGGTAATCTTATAATCAGTCCTGTATCAAGAGATGATGAAGGCACATATATTTGCACTGCAACTAATCAGTATGGAAATGATGAAACTCGGGGACGGCTAATAGTATTACGTAAGCCAATATATTTTACTTTATATCATTATTATTTTATAATACTATATATATATTTAAGATATTGATTTTAATTAAAGGTGGTCCACAATTTACGGAAAAATTACCACAACAAATTACTACGGCAGTTATGCAAAATCAAACATTGCGTTGTACGGGAGAAATAGATGAAATGCTAGATGTAGCTTATATTTGGAAACATAATGGTTTACGTATTCGAGATGAAGATTTAATAAATAATCCTAGGCTGAATATTAATGGAGAAGAACTTAATATAATAAATGCTACATTTGCAGAAGCAGGAGAATATGAATGTATAATTAAAAGTGCAGTAAGTGAAATTTCTAGTAAAACAATAGTTACAATAGAAGGACCACCAGGACCACCTGGTGGTGTACAAGTTAAAAATATTGTAAAAACTTCTACAACTTTACGTTGGACTGATGGTGCTTTCAATGGAAAACCTATTACTATGTATAGTATAAGTGCGAGAACAAATTGGAATCATACATGGTTTATTATCATAGAGAGTATGTATAATATAATTATTTATAATTTTTAATTTTATAAATCTTTTTTAATAAAAATTATTTATACAAATATTATTTCAGACATAACTGCTATTGAAGTAGATAGATATAATGGTAGAAAGGAGGCTTATTTGGAGAATGTTTTAAATCCTTATACTACATACGAGTTTCGAGTATCTGCTTTTAATGAATTAGGATATAGCTTACCATCATCACCTTCCCCACAATATAGTACTTCACCAGATAAACCAATGAAAGTTCCATTTAATATAGGTGGAGGAGGAGGAAAAATTGGTGATCTTACAATAACATGGAATCCTTTACCACCATCTGAACAAAATGGTCCTGGAATCTACTATAAAGTTTTTTGGCGTCGAAAATATCACGAGACTGAATTTCAATCATTGTCTTTAAAAAATTATGGTAATACTGGAAGAAGTGTTGTTCCAATACAACAACAATATTATTATACAGAATATGAAGTTAAAGTTCAAGCAGTTAATGCATTAGGTTCTGGACCAATTTCTAATGCAGTTACAATATTTAGTGCTGAAGATATGCCTCAAGTAGCTCCTCAACAAGTTGTTGCACAAAGTTATAATAGCACTAGTTTGAAAGTTAGTTGGAAACCAATTGAAGAGACGCGTGAAAAAATACGAGGCAAATTGATAGGTCATAGAATAAAATATTGGAAAGAAAATAATAGAGAAGAAAATGCAGTATATTATTTATCTCGAACAAGAAGACCTTGGGCACTTGTAGTTGGTTTACAGCCTGATACTTATTATTATGTTAAAGTAATGGCATATAATTCTGCTGGAGAAGGCCCTGAAAGTGAAAGATATTTAGAAAGAACTTATCGTAAAGCACCACAGAAACCACCATCTTCTGTCAATGTATATGGAGTAAATCCTTCAACAGTTCGAGTTGTTTGGCGTTATGTACAACCAAGTTTAGAAGAAGAACCATTAATAGGTTATAAAATACGTGTTTGGGAGTTAGATCAAGATATGAGTACTGCAAATGATACTATTATACCAGGTGGCTCAAAATTAGAAGCTGATATTACGAATCTTAGTCCTGGAAAAGCATACCATTTACGTGTACTTGCATTTAGTAAAGGAGGAGATGGACGTATGTCAAGTCCAACTCATACATTCCAAATGGGTGATGCAGCTGCTTTTAGAAGTAGTGCTTCTAATAAGATTTTGAATGCTGCTTTAGGCATATCATTGTTATTATTATTAAAAATTTATGAATATATATAATATGACTATACTTTTTATACAATGCAGATTCACAAAGTAATTATAACAGATTAAAAATATATATAATTATATTAAATATTTTTATGAAAATCTAAATAAATTAATACGCGATTATTAATTTATCAAATAATATTTAAAGTGAATTATAATACTATTATTAATTAAATTTTTTTGCAATGAAATCTAATTGTCAGTAATATAAATAATTAACATTGCAACATTTCTAAAAGAATAACACTATATTAAAGTTACAATTGATTATTGCGAAATTAAATATTGTTCAATGCAATATCTTATGTTAAATAAGTAGATAATAATTATCAATTATGATATTAGTATGATATTAATATGAACGAATGTAAAATATCAATAATTTTTTAAATTTTTATATTTTTTATAAGTATAGAAAAAATATTTTCCAATTATAATTCATTTGAAAATATTAAGAAATTTAGTATTTAAATATAACATAAATTTTTATATAGATTAACATTATTTTATAAATTAATTAGAAATTATAAACAAAAGATTTTTGTAATTAAACATTTTTATACAATATCTATCCGTCCATAAATATCCAAATAATGAAATGTAAATAATAATTATCATATATAATATTTTTTAATGTTATATTCTTGTGTAGACAATAATAAAAAACTTAATTTTCAATACTTTATATATAAAAATTTGTTATTCAATTATATAAAAAGATAATAAGTTTATGTAATTATATCTTTATTGATGTAAGAATATCTAGTTTGTGAGAACAGAATAGATAATTTTTTATATTCACATTTTATACAATCATATTATATAATCATATTAATAATAAATATCTTGTACATGTTTTTTTTACAAGAAAAGATGATTTATTTTTCTTTTCATCAATCAAATTTCCTATAATTGAAAATATATATATAATTGTACATAAAATATATATTTTATAGTTAAAGTATAGTATAATTTTATATAGTTAAAATATAAAACAATATACATACAATAAAAATAAAATTTGAAAAAAAAAAGATAAAATTATGAAAAATATAAAGTTATTAATTAAACCAATTTGATTTTTCATTATTAAATTATTATATATTAGAAAATGACAAAAAATTACATATACAAATATAATTTAAATATAATATTAAATTAAAATATAATTTAAATTATATATGAAATTAGTTTAATTATTATATATTATATATTATATAATCAGTATTATTGGAGATAATAATTTACTATTATGTTTGTATTTATATAGTACTTTCATATATATATAGTTACATAAATTTAGTTTAGTGTAGAGGTTACGAGAGATAATAGTTATACGTTAAGATAATGTAGTTTAAATTCATATAGTATAATTCTAGAAACAGATGATTATTTTAAAAGTACAAATGATAATTTACTATGTGAAAAATATATGTATTCTATAGAGATAAATCTTATCTTAAATTAATGTCAATGACTGTGAATTGTGAATAATTTTCAGAATTTAACAGAAAAATATTTTTCATTGTTATTTTGTAAAGTTTTACTTTTAAAATTAAATATGTTGCGATTTGCAAGCCGAAAATTACGTTCAACTCAAGTGTTTAATAAAACTTTAAAATTAAGTACTAAACAAACAAGAAATTTAAATCTACTTGAATATCAGAGTAAAGAACTTTTAAGAGATTGTGGAGTTTCTGTACAAAATTTTGCTATTGTAGATGATTTAAATAAAGCAAATTCTGCTTTACAAAATTTACGTTAGTATTTTTTTTAATTTTTTGCATTTAATTAATTTATCATTTATTTAACATTAATAAATTATAAGAAATATAAAATTGATTGTTTATATGTTTTTTAGTTTAAAGTTTTTAAAATTGTATTATTATTTCATATTGTGTAATGTATATATATATTAATATTGTGAACATTTATTTTGTAAAAATTATTTATTGTACTAATTTTATTTATTTTTATAGATGCAAATGAATATGTCATAAAAGCTCAAGTATTAGCTGGTGGTCGTGGAAAAGGATGGTTTGATAATGGTTTCAAAGGAGGTGTACATCTTACAAAGGAGTAAATATAGATATTATAATATCTAACATAATAATATATTATTTATATATATATATATATATATATATATATATGTATATATATAATATTGTATTTTAATGTTAAATATTTTTTATAGCCGTAAAGCTGTTATAGATGTTGTGAAAAATATGTTGGGTCATCGTCTTTTTACAAAACAGACTTCAGAAGATGGTATATTAGTACAAAAGATTATGATAGCAGAGTCTGTAAATATTGCACGTGAAACATATATTTGTATTCTTATGGATAGACAACATAATGGTCCTGTATTAATAGCTTCACCAGCAGGTGGTATGGATATTGAAACAGTTGCTAAAAAAAATCCAGAATTAATAAAAACAATACCTCTTGATATATATTATGGAATTGACGATGAAATCGCTAAAGATGTTAGCATATTTCTTGGTTTTATGGATCCAACAGTACAACAGAAGGCAATATATGAATTAAAAAATTTGTGGAAACTATTTGTAGATATTGATGCCTTACAAGTTGAAATTAATCCATTGGTTGAAACTACAGATAACCAAGTTATAGCAGTAGATGCAAAAATATCATTTGATGATAATGCTCAATTTAGACAACAAGATTTATTTGCTTTAGAGGATAATGATATAAAAGATCCTAGAGAAGCAGATGCATTGCGGTTTGATTTGAATTATATTGGTATGAATGGCAATATAGGATGTTTAGGTATGCTTATATATATATTTATATATATAATTTATATATATAAAATGTTAATAATATTTATAATAAGAAAGGAATGATAATTTTATATTATTTAATTTATAATCTTTAAAAATTTATATAAATGAATTTATATAATGAACAAAAAATTATTGCTGACTTTATATAACTAATATAGAATTCAAAATTATATTTAGTTAATGGTGCTGGTTTAGCTATGGCTACTATGGATATAATTAAATTGAATGGTGGATCACCAGCAAATTTTTTGGATGTGGGTGGAAGTGTTAAAGAAGATCAAGTTTATCAAGCATTTAGAATTCTTACTGAAGGTATGTACTCTAATAAAAATTGAGATTGTTTTTTCTTAATATATTTATTCTTTATATTATATTTTTGTATAATTCAATATTTTTATTTTAATAAAAATTATTAGAGCAAAGATAGTTAAAAATATAGAATAAAATTTTTTTATTTTTTAAAAATTTATTAAATTCCGACCGCTAATTTTTTTATTTTTCCTATTATTATTATCTATATTGTAACAAAATGTTTAAAAAAATTCTGTTTAAATTCATAAAAGTATATAGGTTCATTAATAATACTATTAAATATTATTTCCTTAAATATACATTTTTTTGTAAAAATAATTTTGAATATTTTGTTTGATATCTCTAGATCCAAAAGTAAAAGTTATTCTTGTAAATGTATTTGGAGGTATTGTAAATTGTGCTACAATAGCAAAAGGGATTATTGCAGCATCTCATAATTTACAACTCAAAATTCCACTTGTCATTAGACTAGAAGGTAATTATTTTTTCGTTATTTATTTTATAATTTTGTTTTAATAATTATATAGAATATTATTTACTTATTTATTTATTTTTTGTTATATTTTTTTATAATTTAAAAATTAAATATTATTATTATTATTATTATTATTATTATTATTATTATTATTATTATTATTATTATGTAATTTAATAACGATTCCTTTGTTGTTTTTAAAATAGGTACTAATGTAACAGAAGCAAAGAAACTTCTTGCAGAGAGTAATTTATCAATTATAACAGCTAATGATTTAGATGAAGCTGCAAAAAAAGCAGTTACTTTTGTGAAAACATAAGTTTATCAAGTTTCTTCTGAATTGAGTTTTTTAAGACTGGGAAGCTTTGATTTAAAAATATTTATAGATGATATTAAAATATTTCAAAGATTAATTTTTTTTTACTTCGTTTTAATATTGTTTATTTTAGTTTATTATTTATAGATTATTTGTTAATTATCTTTTGGTTGTATCTTTTTTTATATGCTTGCAAAATGATAATCCATATATGAAATTCATTGTATGAATGAATTAATTAAATATTTTGTTAATATTAGTAAACATTATTTTCTCCTTATATTCCAATATATATTATATTCCATTTTTTCTATTACGTTTTCATAAATAAATAGTCTGATATAGATATTATTAATTATAATTATAATTAATTATAATTAATTGTATGATTTTTTTATATTTTATAAATAAACAAATGGAATATCTTTATATATTATAATTACTTAAGGAATAAAATATAGATAACAGAAATGGAATTAGAAAGAAAAGGGATAATAAGAGAAACAGATAGATTGATATGTGTATGTATATATATATATATATATATATATATATACAGAGAGGAAGAGAGAGAGAGAGAGAGTTTGTTCGTTAGAGTGGGAGGGTGTTGAAGACGAGGGGATAGCTATTCTCGGAGTTCGTTCGGTATATTTTCCCTCTCTTCCAAATTCGGCGGCGGTAAAACGTCAGTAAACCTTTCTAAATCGCATTGAACAGTACAAAGTATTTCTTCTCTTTCTTATATCATTTGAATTTGAATTGTTTTGTATGCATGTAAGGTGTATCAAAAATATGAAAGTGTAAATCACATTTGAAAAAGAATTGTTAGAGTGAATATATATATTTATATATACGTATACTTTACTAATAATTCCACTTTATTCTATATATAAAGTAGTGTATAAAATATTTGTATAGCAATGTTTATCGCTTAAAAAAAAATATAATCAACGGATTTTATTCTTTACTTTATATATATATATAGGACGGGTTAGTATAATAATCATAGTCGATTGGAATATGATTTTATGTAAAAAAATAAGAAAAATTTGATTTTTTCGTTCGAGACTTCATTTTTGAGAAAATCAATTTTGAAAATCGATAAATGATAAAAAACGCGAATGATTGACAAGTATGAATTTGTTATAATATGATTCATAATTTTTAACATTGAGAATAATATGATTCAAGTAATAGAAAAATCTTTTTAAAATATATTTTTTAATTTAAAAAATATTTTTTTTATTAATATAATTTATTTATTTATTTTTTCTTATCGTATTATAACTATTATTGATATGTTGACATTTTCAATAATATTTATCTTTTTTAAAAGTTCCAATTTATCAGCAATTCTATAATTTTTCAATCTGACCGTCACGTGTATTAACAATCTATATCATTTGAAATTCTTATCTATTTACTTTAAATGATATTAATTTACTTATAAATTGAATAATTATACGAAATGATATTTATACCTCATTGGTTTAACAATTGAGAATTAACATGTCATCAATGTGTAAGATGATTTTTAAATCGATTGATAAATAGTAAGACAATAGATATTGAAAAGTAAAATTCATAAATGATTGATTCAATTTAAATTATGAAGTGAAATCAAGTAACATAATTATGAACGTTACGTTTCTTATTTTTTTACTATATTTTTTTTCCATGTGTTGTGTTTGACAGTTAAATTTCATGAAATATGTAATATAACAATATTTTTTAATGACAAAATTTCTTTTGCATATAAAATTAGACCTTGAAAAAAAGCATATATATGTATCTATTCTAAAAATACTTTGACTCTAATGCACATCCTAATTTAAAATATAGAATTGATTAATTTCCTATTATGTACATTTATAGAATTATTTATAATATTACATAATCTATTTGATTTATTAATATATATATATATGATTACATTCTCATTATAAATATTTTACCATTAAAATTATATTTATTGCCGAAATAAAAATTCAATTATAATGATTATATATGTATTTAATTCTTTACGAGTTTTATTCTATGGAATATTTGTTCTGATTTTTCGCTAATTACTATTTTGAATATATGCATTATCCAAATCTTAATTGATAAAACTTAACTTTGATAAATAATTTATTCATATTTTTTTCAATCATAATAGTATTCCTGCTTATCAATCTTTGTTATTTCTATCTTCACGATTCTATTTTTTTCTCGATTTAGGTAAAATATTTTTTCACCTATCTTAAAATATATTACAATTATAGTGATAGTGAATCAGATAGTGACGTGGTTAACACCGATCAAGTATCTTACGTGTACATCGAAGAATTGATTCATCTGGATTTTATTTGGATTCTGGTTTTCGAGGCATTCAGAGTAAAAATGTTACAAACGTAAGTTTTTATAATTTTATAGCGAGATAAGCTTTATTTTATAAATTTCTTTAATTTTTTTATATCCTAAATATCTTAAGTATCAAAATTTTGATATTGGAGTTGTCGTGTAAATAAAATATTGTTGTATAATAAAAAAATATTCGAAATAAATAGAAATTTTTGTTGAATCTCAAATATTTATTATATATTATAATGAATAAATTTTCTGTTTTCAAAATGTTACAAAAAATTACTTTATCCATCGTAAATTTGTTTCAAACAACAAGACGATTGTCATATTTATATAAACAATTCCGTCATTAACGATGAGTCAGAGTTACAACTTGCATAGGGTCACTTGTCAGACATAGAAACGCGAGAGTTAAATATGGATCAAACGTAAGCGTTTTGTCTTTGCTGATAAATATTATGAATATTGCATGATTGATGTCGTCTAATCTCTTTTTTTTTCAAGAATAATGATAATCATTAGACAATGATTATTTATTTACATTTAATTTTGACTTAATATTTTAATTTTAATCCATGATTTGATTTTGACTCTGTGGTTATGTTCTAAAAAGCTTTTGCCTTCTGTGCAAAGATTTTTTAATAATTTTTCTTAATAATTTTGTTCTTTCATTGCTCTCTCAATGTAATATTCTGGAAAGGGATTCTAATTATTCCAGAAGAGGTTGAACTACAAATTCAGGGAAAAATTCACTATATATACTTGTAGGAAATTCTGAAGATTTATAACGCAATATTATTAAAGCAAACAAACGATAATGATTAAATATATTCATTGTTTACTTTGTTAAATTAAACAAATCTTATAAAATCTTATAAAATCCATCGTAAATAATTATTTATATTATGTATCTATATTTTATTATTTTTAGGATATTTCTTCTACTCTTGGAATCAAATTTTTTTTAATAAAAGGATTAGAAAAGAGTGGAATAATAATAATTTTTTGCAATATCATATGCGTATTTCGGAAGATGTTCAGTTGCCAGATTTCGAAACTTTCTACGTTATTATTTCTATCATTATAGAATTAGTTGCAGCACGCGGTTGCTTGTCACAATGAAATATGCATTGAGTGGAATGAGTCAACTAAAAATGAGAAAATGAGATGTTTGTCTACATATTTTCTTCTTTTATCTCTTTTTTAAATTCTCTTTTATCAATACTTTCAGCAATTTCTTTTTTTAAAAGTTCAAATAAAATTAATTATGCATGCTATTAATTAATTACGAATTTTAAAAATATAAGTTTCATAATGTTCATATCATGTCATTATTACAACAAATATGTATACAAATCCATATACAAAACAGTAAATATTTCATAATTCCATAATCCTCATATCTGATGTTTTCAATAATTTCTATGTAATAAATAGATTTAATTTTAAATGAATCGTATATATTGTATAAGTCGTTCCCTTTATATCAATGATAAAAAAAATAAAGTGTAATAAATTAGTAATTCTCGAGAACAAAAAGAAAATTGTTAAAATCGATTTTGCAATTGAAAATAATTTATCAACAATTTATTTTGAATGATCAACTTAATTCTTGTTTGTAAGTTGGAAAGGAACGTAAGATTCGTGGCTAAAACTGGAATCTTTTCGGAAAAGGAAGAAGAAGGTGACTATTCCATGAAAGGAATCCATGCTGCGATACTTACTATATCGGATGTTATTCATTGCCTACGTAATATCAAGTATTCTTTTTAAAATTATTACTCAGTTATATGACATGTGTGCAAATATATTTGTATACACATATATCAAATCATTTAATCTCTTTTATTTGTGTGCATGATTTGTCAATAATTATAAACATGGGTAATATCGTGATATGCTTTTTCTTTCATTCACCTCTCATTGATCATCTTGCTAATAAAACATTGAAGGAAAAGAAATCATTGATATATCATTATATATATCAATTTTTTATTCTTTCTTTGATTAAAATTGTTTCGTGTGATAATAATATCTTATTTTCTCGAATAGAAATTGATAATTAATTATCTTGAAAAATTTTTAAAAACAAAATATCAAGATGACAAGAAGTCAATTATGATTTTATCTATGTTTAAAAATATCTACAAATATAATTATTAGAAGATAAAAATATATATGATATAATGTATATAATGTACTATATCTGAGATAATGAAAGTCGTTTATTCTGAAAGGAACATCATGTAGAAAAAAATTTTATTCCATATCTTCAATTTATTTTTCCAAAGAGGAAAATTGGTATTAAAAATATTTCTCTGTTATTTCAAGTAATAAGCAAAAATACCGCTTACAAAAGTCGCGTAGTTGCAAGAAAAATCATAACACGATATTCGATATTTTCCTCATTGTTGCATCGCCTAGCATTTTTGTCGACATGTACCACCATGCATACTGAATATAATATATATATATATTTGAAAATTATTTGATCATGTCAAAGATATCGATGCACTTTATGTTAAATTATATTTAAAAAAAAAACGAGAACATTCGATATAAATGCAATATAAATATATATCCAATACAAATATTCATTATTTTATTCTTCAATTCAATATTATTATTAATTTGAAAATAAAATGCAATTATTATAATTTTTTGAAATCAATTATCTATATTATATATTTAATTTTACGCAAAATGGATCAAATACCTAATGTGGTCGGATACTTTTGTGACCATCTTCAACATAAGAACACACACACCATACGCACACACACAAGAGAAGATAAAGTAGAAAGAGAAAAGTAACAGACTCGGGTAGGAGAGGGGAGGACATTGAGCAGGAACGTGTGAACGCACACAAGGTAAATACCACCACCATAGCGCTCACCTTTACCAATG